CTTCGTCTTGCTGCTGTTACAGTGAAAACATTGCCGCTTCGCTAGCAGTACGCACCAAGGAGGAACAAAGTGCAGTGATCCGAGTCTGCAGAGAACATACTATCTAATCGTTGATAACTCGCTGGTTCGCCATTACCATCTCGCGAGCTTCCTGAATCTTCTAGTAAATAGTGACGCACGAAGAAGCAGGACGCTCATCGTCCTGCTTCTTCGTGCGTCACGATTGTACAGCCATTTTTATATTTCTCAGTACAATCATACACACATCTAAGCGATAGTTCACTATCGTTCTATTCTGTTAAAAGCGTCCGAAGAATCGGATTACTGCTATTCGTGTTCGCCCTTGGTGCATACTGCTAGCGGAGGGCTCATGTTTACACTGTAACAACGGAAAGAAAACTGAAGCGCTCACGCTCAAGCTTAGATCACGGGACCACAATAGCACCAAATATAAGGACGCATTAGCAGAAGGTAGTATGAGAATTATGCATAATACATTATATTAATTGCACAGCTCTGAGTTTCATACCGAAGCAAATATCAAGTGCTGGTATTTTTTCCATTGTTAACACCGGTTTAATGAAATTCCTGGTAATCGCGAGATATTTTTTTGTTGCGGACGAATATTATTGTTGTTAAAGTATTTAAACGAATTGCAGTGTAATTTTGAATTTGAATTTAGGCCAAGGTTAACATTTAAGATTGAAAATAAGGTTGGAAATAAGAAATTTAAATTCTAATTTAGAGAGACGTTGATATTATAAAAGTAATAAACAAGAACAGACGTTAGAAAATCAAGGGAGGTAACTCTATATTTTTTCCATGAAGATCAATGAAGTAATCAATAATATTATTATGATTTTGGTGATTCTATTGTATATTAATTTCTTTTCTGAAATACTAAATACATTGAGTTCTTTTTTTATATATTTCTAGGATCCATTTGGATGATATATCAACGGATGTATTATCTTTATTATATATATATATATATATATATATATATATATATAGTAAAAGGTGATACAGCGAAACAGTCTGTCTGTGGATGACCATATATATATATATATATATATATATATATATATATATATATATATATATATATATATACACACACACACATATATATATATTTTCATCCACAGACAGATTGTTTCCTTTATCACAACTCATCAGTGTGGCTAGCTAGGTTTGAAACCCGACTAAATTGACGTCTGTCGGAGATTCTACCACCAAGCCATTAGCGCACGGCAGGGATGAAGGTGAATTTAAGCGCTTTTATTTTTAGATAAACACACAGTCACTGAGTGGACTCGATTCGCTTTACCGAAGAGTCTTGAGTTATTAGCCGTAATAGTCACTGTTTACAAATTCACACACACATACATACATATTTATATATGTATATATATATATATATATATATATATATATATTATTTTATAGTGATTTTATAACATGTTTATGTATATATATATATATTATTTTATAGTGATTTTGTAACATGTTTACGTTATGATTTTTCTAAATAAATAATTATATATATATATATATATATATGTGTGTGTGTGTGTGCGTGTGTGTGTGTATAGATAAAGTAGAGAAACTGTATCGATTTATACTTCTTACAAAATGTAGGTATGGGAGAATTCGAAAATAATAATACTAATGATAAAAATGATAATCATCAAATACCAAACCATCAGAATGTGCTTACCTACTGAGATACCAGTTCCTGCAGATTGTCATGCAGTCTTGAAGATCTTCAAAAAAAAAAACTATCAAAACAGAAGTTCTTTGAAGTGGAAATCAATATGTGAAGACATCAATAATTACATTTGTGGTTGGAGCCCTCGGTTTGATGAGAAAATGTTCAAACAGATAAATTGAAGGAATACCTGGCAGCTCATACCTTAAAGAAGTACCAGAAAAAAACAAAAAAAAACCTTTTTCACAAGCATTTCAGTGAAAGATATAATGATGCCATTTGTGACCTTAGGTTTCTGTTTAAGACCGACAAGGAAATAAGTATACAACAAAATCAAAGGAAATACTACTAATAATAATAATAATAGTCATTATTATTATTATTATTATTATTATTATTATTATTATTATTAGTTCCTTAGACAGAATAAAAGTATATATCGGGACTTTTAGCATTCATTTTCGAAACATGGTTAGAACTGTGTAGCGAAAAAAAACATATTTTAAATCAATTAATTTATAATATATATATATATATATATATGTGTGTGTGTGTGTGTGTGTGTATAAAGTGATCGTAAAATCAGTCGTGTAATAAGCGCTCGTGAAACGAGATGATTACGATTAGTCTATATTGTTTAACCTAGCTTGTCATTTTTTCTTCTTCCCCTAACCCACCTTCTTTAGTGGATGTGAGATTCCCGTATTTATTTATGTGTCTAAATGCGTATCTGATAATCTCAATGTCTGTGTGAATGATTTATTTTGCTTAAGAAATCTCGTACGTTTTGGCTAGTTATCTTAAACGATTAGGTTTTCTGGTGGCTTAGTCGAAGGCTTTTTGTGAAAACCGTAATTCATTCAGTATTCCCTGAATTTCTAATGAAACGCAGAATGTGATCAATTGTTTTAAGAATTTTTAATCTGATTTTCAGCGATTTTGTTGGCATTTAAATGAGGCAGCTAGAAGGATACATTGAATATTATGAATACACTTGTCCGGTTGGTTAAAATATAGAGCGAAAGTGAAATTGATGTCCCTGATAGTTTCCTGGGGTTTATTAAACCGAAAATGGGATTTATTATGAGTATCACCGATATAATTTCCTACGTTACATTTGTTGCAAAAATTAAATATATTATATTTGAACAAGTCAAGATAGGGTTTCGGATTATTATATGCGTGTATGTAAGGTAAATATGTTTACAGTGATTAGTTTCCAATAATGCCGTTAGCTAATATGAAATTTAAGGTAACTTAAATTGTCTAAGAAATATTTAAAACACGATGCTTGATGCATTCCTTTCTGATACGGTAGAGCTACCTTTAACCGTCATGACTTCACACGTTTAAAAAGTGACAGAAAATGTTACCTATATACTGACAACTTCCAGATCTACTAAACTCTGTTATGGCTGAAAATACAGAAAGACGGAAGAAAAAAAAACGAACTTTATACAGATTATCAACAATTTTCATTCCAGTGTAAAACGTATTATGATACAAAGATTGGAAATAATGAAATGAATAATTTAGCAGACAAATTCTTACTTCAGCGTTAATTGATATATATATATATATATATATATATATATATATATATATATATATATATATAAAGGAAAATATTTCAAATCGTATAAAAAGTATTGTAAAAAAATCTTTAATTTTAAAAGATGACGTTGAAAATTTTTTACCGTTAACAATTTTTTTTTTTTTTTTTTTTTTTTACCAGACGACATCCATTCAACTGACGTCAGGTTTCATGTAAAATACATCCTCACCCCTTACCAAAATGTAGCTAATAACTTTGATTTAATAAGGAAAATCTAAAATTTGAGTAGAATATTCTGTAAAATATGGAAACGTGATTTTAGCTGTGTATTTAAAACCCGAAATTTTAAAAGTTAAAAATTCGCTTGAAGATGAAATAGAACTAATGCTTTTAATTTATTTGCAAAAATAAAATTTTTTATCGTCTTTTTTGAAACATGGTTGGAACTGTGTAGCGAAAATAACCATATTTTAAATCAATTAATTTATAATATATATATATATATATATATATATCTTTTTGTTTATACGTTAGTTTCATAGATATAATTTATTTAAGTAAATGCTCTGATTTTAATTAAACTGTATTAATTAAATTTATCGTCTTGAATGTTCAAGAAATTTCGTAGAAAATGTGAGCTTTTCTGGGAGGAATCGAACCTGTAACCCTTAGGGGGAACCGTTATTTGGTCTGATGTAAATGCAAAAAGGCCTGTAAATGTAGTTAATACTGTTTAATAAAAAAAAAAAAAACAGAGCATTTACTTAAATAAATTATATCTATGAAATAGCGTATAAAAAGAAAAAAAATATTAAATAATTGTGGTACTTCATCCATTTCACACACACACACACACACATATATATATATATGCACACACACAGTTATATATATATATATATATATATATATATATATATATATATATATATATATATATATATATATATATATATATATATATATACAGGATGTCCATAAAGTTAGTGTGCACTTTAAAAAAATTATAACTTTATTTGTATTTGCGATAGAAATAATCTGTAAAAAATGTTATAAAGTTTAATGTACCTAGTTTTAAATAGAGCTAAAATAACTAATGTGATTTCAGGCATTACTGTAAATCAGTTGGCAAATGTTTTCCGTGAACTGCCAAATCGTATGACCCTATGTATTGCTAACGATGGAGGAGATGTGGAAACTTAAAATAAAATTTCAATAAAAAATTACAAAATATAGATTTACTTCTTTCTAATCCTTTTTAAAAATTATTTCTATCGTAAAATACAAATAAATTTATAAATTTTTAAACTGCCCACGAACTTTATGGACACCCCGCATATATATATATATATATATATATATATATATATATATATATATATATATATATATATATATATATATATATATATATATATATAGAGACTATTACTGTAGTGTGTTATATTTTCATTACGTTATAAATAAGAGTGGAAAGATCGAAAGGAAGAAAAAAGAAAGACATAAAGAACTATGAAAGACAAAATGAAAGTAAGCTAAAGAAAGAGAAGTTAAAAGAGCATTTACTTAAATAAATTATATCTATGAATTAGTGTATAAAAAGAAAAAATATTAAATAATTGTCGTTCTTAATCGATTTCATGTATATATATATGTGTGTGTGCATACATATATATATATATATATATATATATATATATATATATATATATATATGGAGAGAGAGATTATTACTGTAGTGTGTTGGACTTTCATTATGTTATGAATTAGAGAGGAAAGATCGAAAGCAAGGGAAAAGAAAGACAGAAAGAACAATGTATGACAAAAAGAAAAAAAAGGAAAAACAGAAAGAACAAAGAAAGACAAAAAGAAAAAAGAAAGAGAAAAAGAAAAAAGAAAGACAGAAAGGACAAAGAAATACAAAAAGAAATCAAAAAGAAAGACAGAAAGGACAAAGAAAGACAAAAATAAAAAAGAAAGATAGAATGAATAAAGAAAGACAAAAAGAAAGTAGGCTAAAGAAGGAGAAGTTAAAAAAAAATGTATTTCGTTGTCGGTTGTTAGAATTGGATTAGACCAATTTAGGCAAAGGGAAAAATTCGTTTGATTTTTGAAGTCCCAGATTTGGGGGAGGCATTTGAAGTGGATCAAAGTAAGCTTGTACTTTCACAAAATAAAATAAAAATAAAATCGAAACATTCCAGAATATTCGGGTTGTACAAGAAGAATATTAAAATTACTCTCTTTTTCTTTTTCACTTTGCAACCTTGACTCTTTCGTGTGTTATTTATTTTTCTGCATTTTTCTCTCTCACGCGTGTTCACTTCACTCTCACTCTCTCTCTCTCTCTCTCTGCTTCTGCAAAAAGACAGTCGTGATGTTGGGTGGATTGTTATTATTAAGAAGCATTTCCCAGTTGGAAGTCACGTGAAAACAAAGCAAAAATATGTCTTCGCAGAAAGAAATTGTCTGCTCAGAATCAATAATGGCGAAGTCGATTTTCTTTAATCCGCCACCATACACTAGAGCTGGGCGTAATTCACTTGAAAGTACATCGTTAGGAGTTCGATACTTATTGATTGCCATCTAAATATGTGCTCTAATTTTTCTTTTATTTATTTTATCTAGGTACTACCACTTTTTCGCGAAAAAAAAAAACAGAATAGCATAGTGGTAAAGGCCACACTAAAAAAAAAAGTTTTAAACTCAAAATGTTTATGTTATTATTAAGACGAAAGTATTTTTCATTATTTTTTTTAATCCTTTCTAGCACATTGGAAATGTTCATTCAGAAACTTCTTTTATTTCCGTCATGGGACCCGAGTAATAATTACAAAATATTTTTTTTGCCGCTTTTTCCCGGTGAAAACAAATTAATTTGGAAATTCTAGCAAAAATCAGAGAATAGCCGGATTTTAATGAAACTCTCGGGACTCTTTTTTCAAAAATGAATGTAAATATTTTTGATTTTTTTTTGTTTTAGAAAAGTTTGGTAAAAAAGATGTTTTTCTTCATATGTTACAACCCACTTACTTAATTTCATGAAATTTCACAAAATATATTCCTATTTCCCGAATTGTTTTCATTAGTTATTAAGTAGGACTTCTTGGAGACTGTAAGTAACCTAAAAAAATTTTAAGCTTTTACTATTCTAACTGAAAATCTGCTCGGAATAGTAAATTAAATAATGTAATCAAATTATGACATTATTTAATTAGAAAAACTTTTAATTGATTTTGTAAATAAGTTATATTAAATGCACTATTGTCTGAAGAAATGAAATATTCCGATGAATAATGCATTTTTACAAGGATTTTTCAATTTTTAAAAATTTTAATTATAATAATTTATAATTGTTTAAAAATCAAAAAAAATCTGCATTGGGCGATTTCCTGTATATGATAGAGTAATTAAATGGAAACGAAATTGAAAAATCCAAAATTGAAAAGATTAATAGTTCAGTATATATTTTTAAAATTATTTATTTTTTCACTTAATACGTTCCTTTTTAATCTATGGTAGGCTGAACATGACATTATTATAAAAAAGCCAAACAGTTTTGTCCATTTACAGAGAAATTCACTCGTCTTTATTTCGTTCATTACTATGTATAGTTCAACACGTTTTCAACTTCGTCTCTTCTGCTTTAAAATTTAAAAATTTAAAGTAAGAACTATCTTAAATTCCAAATTGGATGCAACCCCCAAATCTGCCTAAAACTTCTGCCCAGTGTTCATCTTCCATTGAAATTCATAAAATAAAAACCCAGAAAAAACAACTGCAAATAAAATAATATAAAATAAAATAATGTCACTTAAAAATAAATAAATAAATAAAATAAAAATAAATAAATAAAAATAAAAAAAAAGTACAAAAAAATACTTCCACTCATTTTGTTAGCAGGCAACTCCACTATGACTGTATTTTAACTGGAATTCCTGCTATTTGTATTCTACAAGCCGGCAAAAATATTTTTGAAAATATTGTCATTGGAAGATGAAGTTTTACAAATAAGTTCTACAACAATTTACAGAATGGTGGGAGATCTTGGCTTCCTTTCATGTGTGAAGACGTTCAATTCAGGGCAAAGTGCAGAAAACTGCACGTTAGTTTTTGATTCAACGACACAAGGTAGAAACCACGTGAACTGAGTGGTATTAACAAAACCATCAGCCTCTCCTCTTGTGTCGTTAGAACGTCTTCCTGTGGGGAGGGGGACTACAAGCAGCATATTTGGGACTGAATCAACAAAATAGCCAAAGTAGGCTACCTATTGGCGAATATGTAGATGCCAGTTTAAAAAAATAATTTCGAAAATAAAATGCTGCTTAATAGACCCGCTCCTGTCAATCATTGTACAGTTTCGTTATTGCAAAAGGAGTGACTGGTTATGTTGTAATTTGCACTTATTGGAATCATGTTCACCAAAGACGAGGAAGGTCCCTAGGGATTGTTGTGAGACCTGTGCAACATCTTCCAATGTGAGTGAGTGCCTAGTATGCCGGAATATTGTTGGCTTAAATTCTCTCAGATTCAGTGATCAATTAAAGGCAATTAACGACATGGAGATCTTTATTAACTACAGGGGTTTCCATTGTCCCTAATCTCTAGATTCCGAGGGAATCGGTTGCATATAATTTTCCATCAAGGTGCAAATGAATTTCCTATTTTCGAGTAGTGTAAACAATTTGTCTTGGGACTTCTTTCAACAAATGAAACCATCTCCAGACTGCATCAACTCTTCATAGAAGAATCCGCTATCATCGAGACGCTAGTGCTGGGAATCGTAGGGAAGATGCTTGGATGAGTACCTTTTACACATCTCTCAAAACGCAAAATGACCTTATGGGCACAATAAACATCGTCAAAGGAGTCATTGACAGTATGAAGTTACTCAGCAAGGCAAAATGTCTATTTTTGCGTGTATAAAGAACATTTTTGGAAATCCATTACCAAAGACAGTGAAAGAGTCCCCTACTGATTGCCCCGACAAATGAACTCGTCTTTCGCCAAATGATGAATGCCTGTTTAAAAGGGATTGTGGAGGTGTTAAATAGGCCGTATGAAAAATCATTCATCACCATAAAGGCTTCTTCTCAGTCCCTATTAACATCGGTGAGAGTGAACTTAATAAATATTAAGCTAGCTAAAAAGCATGATCGCTGAATTCATTAGTTACGTAAATCCTTTTTATAAGATCTCAATCTATTGTCAGTTAAAAAAATGTGAAATTGGCGCTGACTATCTAATCTTGTATTTCGAACATAAGTCCAGCAATGATGACTAAAGAAGCATCAGAAAAAAAAACCGACCTTTTTCAGGGCCACAAAAAAATTCCCGAAAGTCTTTTTCCTGTTATACATAGTAACAGGTTTTTCAATATTGTTAATTGGGTAAAAATAAAAATTTTAACAATTATGTAATTAATAATAAAATTTAAAGTAATATGAAAATTTACTAAATTTTCATATTATTTTAAATTACTAATAAATATAAGTTTAATTTACTAATAAAATAACTGTCTTGTAACAATTAATAATAAAAAATAAAATGAAAAGTTATATTAAAAATGAATTAATAATAATAAAATTAACATAACATTTCATAAATTATTAAGTTACTTCTACTATGGTATTTCATCTGTTATTAAATTATAAAATTAATTAAAGAAAATTTTGTATTTTAATTTTTTTCATTATTGTATAAATCATCTTCGAATGGTAAATAAAAGTCAATAAAATATTAGACGATTGCGGAAAATACGTTCATTTATAAAAATTACTAGGTAGTTAAAAACAAAAAACAAAAAAATGCATTCACTTAGATTTCGTAAATTTATGTCAATTTTGGTCATCCATACTAGCTGTCATCACCTCGTAACTTCTCAATACATCAATCATCGCCACATATAACCAAGACCAGTCGTTAAGAAGTGCATGTATATTACTTTTTATGCTATAAGTAATGTTTATTTCAAATCAGAGTAATTTAATTTTGCTAATTTTGCTAAAATAACGTGTCAGAAATATATATTTTATTTTTGGAAAATTCTTAAAATAGATAATATTGTTTCATTTACAAATTTCTTAAAATTAAGAAAATGGCGGCTTTTAAGAAAATTTTCTGAAATCGGCCCAAAAGTGGAGATTCCGATTTATTTAAAATACTCCAGGATATTTTTTACTGACTGGAGATTAATTTTTTGGGGTCCGAACATTTTTCTTGTCTAGTTACTCTGCCTTCTTATTTGTTTTTCTTTTTTTCTGAACATTTTATTTGGCTACATATAATTCTTTCTTTCTTTCTTTTCTTTCTTTCTTTCTTTCTTTCTTTCTTTCTTTCTTTCTTCCAAAGGCTTTATTTGTCTACTTAAGTTTGCTTGTTTCTTTGTTTATTTCTTTGTTTCTGTCTGTTTTTTTTCTTTCAAACATTTTATTTCTTTACTTATAGTTCATTCTTTCTATTTCTTTCCTTCTTTCTAAAATGTTAGTCTATTTATATTTCTTTCTTTCCTTCTTTTTCTCGAACATTTTACTTGGTTACTTATATTTCTTTCTTTCCTTCTTTCTTTCTTTCGAATGTTTTATTTGGTTTCTTATATTTCCTTCTCTCTTTCATTCGAACATTTTATTAAGCGACTTATATTTTTTTCTTTGTTTCTTTGTTTCTTTCTTCTGAACATTTTATTCGGCAACTTATTCTTCTTTCTTTTTTTTCTTTCTTTCCGTCTTTCTTTCTTTCTTTCTTTCTTTCTTTCTTTCTTTCTTCTGAACATTTTATTTGGCTACTTTCTTTCTTTCTTTCTTTCTTTCTTCTGAACATTTTATTTGGCTACTTTCTTTCTTTCTTTCTAACATTTTCTTTGGCTACTTATTTTTTTTTCTATTTCATTTCTTTCTTCTGAACATTTTATTTGGCTACGTATTTTTCTTTCTTTTTTCTTTCTTTCTTTCTTTCTTTGTTTCATAATTTATTTCTTTCATTAAAACATTTTATTTGGCTACTTATTTTTCTTTTTTCATTCTCTTTCTTCCTTTCATCTGAACATTTTATTTGGTTACTTATTTTCTTTCTTTCTTTCTTTCTTTCTTTTTTTCTTCTAAACATTTTATTTGGATACTTATCTTTATTTATTTCTTTGTTTCTGTCTTTTTAACATTTTATGTTGCTACTTATTTTTCTTCGTTTTTCTTTCTTTCTTTCCTTGTTTCTTTCTTTTGACCATTTTATTTGGCTATTCTTTCTTTCTTTCTTTCTTTCTTCTGAACTTTTTATTTTCTTTCTTCTTATCGTCCCTCTGTCTCTTCCTCTCTTCATCCTTTCATTTCTATTTCTCCTTCTTCTTATATGCTTTCTAGATTACTCAAGTATTTCAGCAATTTGAATTTATTCTTTCCTGTCATTTCTTTGTTACCTTTAGGCATGTCAGCATTACGGTTCAACTAATACTTGCAATAATATCCAATTTGGATTATTACAAACAATCAAACTTCGTTATAATTTGAAAAAATAGTCCAAGAGAATTCCGACAATTCTTTCATCATTTATTCGAACTCTAATGTCCATTTTGTATTTGTACAGATGCAAATGTCTTTTACGGTAGACATAATTATTAAAACCTTATTTACAGTTTCGTTTTTGTTCTTTTTTTGTACCAAACAGCTTTTTAAAAATTTATATCTTCAGCTGAAAATTTTTTACCTTCATCTTTTTACCGAAGTTTAACATTTTTCACCTTAATTTCTTTACCTTTTGACGGGTCCTTTACAGAGTCCTGGATATGACGATGAACTATACCCGGTAGCAAATCCTATGATCAGAAGAGTGGTTATTTGAAGGAACGTAGAGCCACCTCTTAATTGGTTTTTATCACTAGCCCTCCATGACACGTTGTATTAGCACCTGTCAGTGTCCCTACTATAGACAAAAAGGGAACCCACAAACAAAACAAAACACTTTGAAAGTAAAATACCAGCAGTACCATTTTATATAGTAAAATTACCAACAATACCTATACATAGTAGAATTACTAACAAAGTCTATTTATAGTTGGATTACCAACAATGCATTTTATAGCAAAATGACCAAGATACGTTTTATCTGGACTTCAAGTGATGCAATGGCGTTCAGAATATATCTAGTTAAGGACAAATTGTGTACCAAATATTTAAACTTCGGCCTTAAATAACCCATAGATGTGTTTATATACCGCTAAACAAAATCAACAAACCAATCTATTAATTATATTCTAATCTATTATTATAATAATTGAATATATATTGCTCATTCCTAATGATTAAAGAATTCACTTTATTAATTTTATATCAATATCTTGCAGGAATTATCTTAAAATACATACCTCTCGTCATAAACATGGAAAAAGAAGAAATGTATTTACTTTTTGCATGAGTACTAGTTTGGTTATAATGCTTTTCAAAATGCTGACAACATTAACAGAGTTTTAAGTAAATGATTCACTTGTGTTCGGTAAGTACGGATCCGGTTTCTTAAGTTCTTAAGGGGACACTACTCTTAATGATCAAAGTGGTAGAGGACGTTCAATTGCAATTTAAAATCAACATGATTTTCTTTATGACAAATTCCGATCCCATGTTGCCAGGAGGAGATTGCAGATACACACCCCCGATTTGAGATACGAGGCTTTGCTACATATACGATATTCTCCTGTTTACTCTCCTACATTTTTCCAGCATCAGGGCATTTTCTTTGAGCCAAAAGACATCCCGTAACCCTTAACATATCTGACTCTACTTTTTTGGACTTCATCGGACGCGATTGTTAGAATGAACGAGAATCAATTATTCCAGACGCTACCGTTAATTTTAAAAGTATACCTTTTCTGTTGATTATTCTTGCTTCTCTTTATAAAGGCTGTTCCAATAACTTGGCCCGATTTTAAATGTGAATTAAGTTTAAGAGTCTAATGAATTTTTTTCTTTTTCTTTCAGATTTAACAACTTAAGTCCTTGGCAATTTCAACCATGGAAAGATTAACAATCAAACAACGTGTTACAGTTATCGAAGCCTATTACGAAAATGGACGTTCAAATTTATAAATATACGGCCCAATGGTTCCGCTAGCAAAAAATGCACACCAAACAGTGAACTTTTGTGGGTGCAGTAGTTTTTCAACAATCTTCCTTCGATTTTAATCATTCCGTAACCCTTAACATATGGCCTGCTGACCTTTTGGGATTTCCTCGGATGAGATGGTTAGAATGAACGAGAACCAATTATCCCAGACGTTACCGAAGACGCTTCGCAAGCGGCTATATTGAACAATACCTTATCGATGGACATACCGACAGTTAATTTTAAAAGTATACCTTTTCTGTTGATCATTCTGGCTTCTCTTTATAAAGGGTGTTCCAATAACTTGGACCGATTTTAAATGTGAATTAAGTTTAAGCGTCTAATGATTTTTTTTCTTTTTCTTTCAGATTTAACAACTTTGGCAATTTCAACCATGGAAAGATTAACAATCGAAGCCTGTTACAAAAATGGACGTTCAAATAGAAATGCATTTCGCGCACTTGGCGATTTTTTTGGTCAACATAATCGATCAACCGAGAATGCAATTGGAAACGATGTAACGTTGTTGTGGAGAGGTTCAATTCCTGCGCGCGATGACGAATAGAGGGGTCTGTATATTCAGCTACATTCTCGTGCACTGCAGCAATGTTTTCAGCTGAACGGCGTAAACGAGCAGGCAATGGTGTTTTCACATCTGCCACAGACCCAGTTTGTTTGAATTTATGAACAATTTTCCACTCTTGAAACTTTAATATGTTGCTTGATTGTTAATCTTTCCAAGGTTGAAATTGCCAAAGACATAAATCGTTAAATGTGAAGGAAAAAAATCATTAGAAGCTTAAACTTAATTCACTTTTTAAATCGGTCCAGATTATTGGACCATCCTTTATTATTATTTGTTCTCAATTACTATTCGCACGTCGCATATTCAGAAAGTAAAGTTATTTTATAATATCAAATTGTGTAGAAGAGACGAAGATTAAATTGCAAACGAGACCACCTTAATTTCGCTTTAGAATC